CTTGGCAAGTGCATTTTTCAGGCTTATCAATTAACAACAGGAGGGGTCACAGACATAAGACCAGCTGTTAAAAAAAGCTCTTCTGACCTTAGCTGGCATGTGGGTATATATTAATGCTGCCCATTATGGGCACAAGCAATTTTCACCCATTTATTAATTATATGTTTTAAATTTGAGTGTTTCCTATCCCCTAAACCTCCAGGGATGTACACAGTTTAATACTGGCAACTTTTTCCAGCATGTGTAGTTCTGGGGACGGGGTGGGGGAGGGGGGGACAGGATGGACCCTTTCAAATCCAGTTTTGGACAGTCTGCCGTGGTTCCATCCCATTTCAAAGTGTTGTTCGACGCTCGGCATTTTTTATCTCTGGTTTGGTCTTCACCAACTGTTTAGGCTCCATCCAAAAAAATCAAAAGCTCCTACGGTTTAACAGCACTAACAACTCCCATCATGCATTGGGGCACAGCTACCACACATTTATTATTGTTATTCAGGCTTATACACAGAAGTCGTTCAATCTGCTGCAACTATCAGGTGTGTGAAGGTGTGTGTTTGAATCAGATAACTGCTTTAATAATGACAGGACTGCTGTGTATAGACTAGTCATTACACACACACTCACACACACGTACAAAGGGAACCGGCCATTAGGACCCCAGCAGAGGGCTATATGAGGGCAAGCATCCGCGCTGACAGGTCTTTTCGTCCAAGAAGCTGCTGCAGGTAAAAACCTCTGTCTCGCGTTTGTCTTTTTTCTGTGAGTGGAGAAACAACATTGACTCGTCTGTTTTCAACCTTAGCCATTGAGAGAATCAAATGTTTTTTTTTTACCTTTGTCTGGTTACCTTTTGTCTTTTGTAAATCTCAAACTGCAAAGGAATTATTGAAGTCTACGGCTGGGTATAAATCCCATTTCTTTTTTGAAACAGGTATGGAAAACTGTATGGCTGCTTCTGTTAAGACTACAACTTAATATTTAAGAATTTTGCCTTTTTTAATACACAAAAAAGGGCTTTGCAGAAAAAAACTGTTTCTATTTGTCAAAGTAAGGCTTTGACACGTTAGGTGTGAACACAAGAATATAAAATGTCCTTCTTTATCCAGACATAGTGATGAAAAAAGCGAGTTAAGGTTCTTGTGAGGAAACCTGAATGTGGTCTGTGCTGCTCTGCAGGGATGAGGTGGTGGCTGGTGGCGGCCTTCTTGTGGCTGCTTGTGATCCTTACCCTCTCAGAAGGACAAGCCACGAAAAAACCTCATAATGTGGACCACCGGGCAAAGAAGAAGAGGGACGGACACGGTAAGACTCTGCCTCATAAAGAAAAGCAATGATATCGGTAGCAAGATCAAAAGATTGGTAACAGTTATGTGCGTCGAGTCCAGTGCTACCCTAGGTAACTTAGGTTAAAGACTGGAAGGAGGAGAATATGCAAACCTAAAATAACCTTCCAAAAACGTTGAAACTGTCATTTTAAAATGTTGCATCTTGTCCTTTTATCAATGGCTGAAGTAGAACTGTAAAAAGGAGGGATTGCGGTTAAACTAGCAGTAAACATTAGACCAGCAACTGTACTTTGTGACTGTACGCATGCAGCATCCTTAAAGTCCAGCTCAATGTCGGGTCAAGAGGTTTCAGCTCATCTTATGTTTCTCTTCCATCACAAGTCAAA